CTGTACAGGTAGTCCTCAACTTATGAACACAATTGAGCCCAAAGTTTGTGTTGCTAAGTGAGAAATTTGTTAACTAAAATTGTCCCATTTTACAACTTTTCTTGCTATGTTTGTTAAGTGGATCCCTGCAGTTGTTAAATTAATTGTTAATTGAATCTGGTTTCCCTGCTGACTTTTCTTGTCAGAAGGTTGCAAAAGTTCATTGTATTATCTTAGGACATTGCAACCATCAAAAATCTGAATCAATTGTCAAGCATCCAAATGTAAATCCCATGACCATGGGAATGCTGTAACAGTCATAAAGGTAAGAAATGGTCATAAGTCATTTTTTTCAGTGCTGTTGTGACTTCAAATGGTCACTAAACGAACTGTTGTAAGACGAGGACTACCTGTATAGGGTTACAGTATGAAACATGTCAGATAAATATACACTTAAGAGAATCTGAGCTCATTATTTGTTTCGTAACGTTGAATATTATTTTCTTTTTTTTCTTTTAGAACATGAGAATACCCAACAGATTATAAGCAATAATTGTTAAATTTTGTAGGTTTAAAGAAGTCTTGTCACATTTGCTACTGGGGGAATCATGGACTTTGATCAGCAATTGCATACTGAAGTTTCTTTGTATTTCGGGGTGGGGCTATATAGAACTGTTTATTATGTTTATATAAAACATAAAAAGGAAAAAGAACAAATGAGGGGAAAGGAAAAAGAAAATAACAAAAGCATACAATGTTACAATAGATAATGAATACTTTGTTACAATAGAAAGACATTTCATTCTGAATGTATACTTGTGTATTGATATGTATTTGTTCTCTTCTTATGAACTGGCTCTTTATCAATATAGTAGAAAGCCTGCAATATTATTCCATGTGGTAAATTTTAATGTTGTGTCTAATAACTGTTTTTCTTATGAATTGTAATACATTATTACTGACATTCTAAAAATATTCCAAGGCACTAACTTTTTCTTAAGTCTTAGTACTGATCTCTATAAACTGGAAACAGATTTTCTAAAATGGCCAAAATCTATTTTGGTGGCAATTAACAAACAAGCAATAGCACAGATCATAAATTATTTGTATCAACCCTGATTCACTGGAAGCAGGATCTCCACCCAAGACTATGCAGCATCTTTCAGACCTTCATAATTTTATGTAACTTCTACAGCAGTTAGATTTTTGTATCTTGTCATTCTTAGATGATTTAAAACCCATTGTATTGGAACATAATATTAACAGTACTGTCATATTCAACAAACAAGATACAAGTAAATTTTATATAAAATCAAGTAGTTTTTGTATTTTCCACACCTGCTGCAAATGCATCACTCATTTTGTTGATCAATGTTTTAAATGTCACTTTGGAGCAGAGAAGTGATAAAAGAGATCATTAACCTTAAAGCCAACTAGATTTGGTACAATTTTTTTGGCATTTAACTTGTAGATTTTAAACAGCACATTATGAAAGTTGATAAAGCAATAATTTACAAGTTTGGCACATCTATATCTGTATTTATATCTATATATCTATATTGACAATCTAACTTCTTTCTCCATTTTTTTCCCACAGTTCTGAGGAAAATCTACTGAAGCTGGTATTAGTTTTGGAAGGAAATCTCACACTGGCACCAATAGCAAATTTCATACCAATGTAATTATTAATTTTAAAATTAATGTAATTTAAATGGATTTGCCTAAGAGTTTAATCAGAGGAAGTACTTTCACTCCCCACTACCATCCTTACTGGAAGTGATCTATATCAATTGTCAATTTTCACTACATGCACATTTTATCTATTTTTAAAAAAATATACAGAGCAATCATATTATTTAATAGAAAGTTTAAATAGAAAATCAAAAGAATTATGCAGTATGCATTTCAGTCAGATATTGAAATTAAGTTTTCACTAGAAACAAAGACAGAATAAGAATCCTTATCCAGCATCAACATATCCAAATCAACCTTTAAACATCCCACGCTTTTAAAATAATGTTTTATTTTTTTGTGGCATGTATTATATACTTGTAAAAAAGCAACTTGAGGAAAACATTTCTTTCAATTACTATTCAGTTTTAAAATCTATACCACCATTGGTGGTAGAATCTAACACTTCTTGGTGATCTTATTTTTTAAGATCATAATAATGAGAAAAAGACCAAATTAATACTTGGATGGGAGATCACCAAGTGATCTGAGGACCATAGAGAAGACTGGGAAGTTGAATAAAAAAGACCTCCTGGAAGAAAACAATAAGACTTTTATAGATCTATGTATTGTTTCCAAGACAACATGGATGTGTTGGTTAGTCACAAGAATCAAGCTTGACTTGACATGGTTTTTGTTGTTGTTGTTGTTTTAGAATTCATAGGTCTTTTAGGAATTTGAGGAATCCAAGCCCACACAAAAAATTACAATAATGTGTAAATGACTAGGAAAACAATATGAATAAAAACCTTGATATTTCAACAAGCAAATTCACATTTCAATATCTCCTGTTGATTACAGTGCCATCCTACACTAAACTCTGTAGTTTGAAAATGATTGGCACTTTTTTCTGAAAATTATAATGCAGGGTTATTTAATATAAATACAATTTTAAGAACTTATAAATATTGATAATTTGTGAAAAAGCATCCACACAATGGTAAATAATGCCATGCAAATCTGATAAAGAAATGGAAAGGCAGCCTTGTAACCAGATCTATATTTTACTTTTACCTCCCCCCTCCTCCCAAAAAAATAAAGGGGAAAGGAAGAGAAATTAGTAATGCTGGTTTAGTAAAGTTATATAATGACATTGTGCACCGCTCAAAGAATGCTGTAATGCACTGTGGAGTGGTATATAAGTCTAAATGCTACTGCCATTGTTATAATAAAGATGGTACTGTATGTACTTTAATCCTACTCCAATTATGAAGAAAAATTTAAAGTATGCCCAAAAATAAGGGGCAACAGTAGCACAAGACTTTTGCCCAAATTAATCATGCTAAATCCTATAACTGTTAAGTACTGAGCAAATACAAGCAACTGAAAGAATCTGGAATTTACTGAGTAAGTGCAGCTCTTTGAACACATTCCGTTAATAAGTCACATTCCCAGTGCCACACCTTTATTGGTAATGTATTTGTGTATATCTATATGATCAGTCTGTGCCTGGGAATTTACTTAAAAACCAAAGCATATTTTCTCAAACACAAATAATTCTCTATGCCTTACTTTGAATTTAGGGACTTCTATAATGTAAATATTTCAGCTAAACACTGCATTTGTTTTACAATAATTAAAATAGCTACTACTCTACCACTATTTTTTATTATCATCTGTTCTAAACCAATGCTTTAGAGGTTTTTTTATATAAAAAGAAATTCCTTCCAGAATTCCTTGAAGAATTAAAATAAGCCAAAAACTTTTTTAAAAGAAAGATTAAAAAATACCAGGGACAAACAGAAAGCAAAAGCAGAACACTTGGAAACATAAAATACTTCTGTGTTATTAAGCACATTGCCTATTCAGATCACACATGCTTAACTAGTCTACTGAGAATGTGACATATGTCACACTGAGCTATAATCCATTAAAAGTTAAATACAGATTCATTCATCTTTACTTTCATAACAGGCTTTATTCCAGAGAGTAAAGAGCAATCTTCACCTCTAAAATCAAGCTGAAATTAAAAGTTGAATTGTCCTATGTTCCAAATGAACTTTGTGGATTATACTATGAATGACACTACATCTGCTTTGTACCCAAAAACATGCCTTTTGGTATTGCAGAAATAATTGGTTTGTCAAATAAACTACATATTTAGAAAAAGAGTTGACCAAAAGAATATACATTAAGTATCCATATATTGCACTTCCATTTTTAATAATGTCACAACTTTATAACTAATACAGTATGTACTAAGGTTTGACAGTGTTGTCAAGTCATTATAGACTTTATACTTTTAGAAAGTTTCTTAATACCACTGCCAGTGATCTTCCAATCACAACTGTTTGTCATTAAATTCAGTAAGTACAATCCAAAAACCTATAGAGATTTTACTATTTCCCCCCCTGTTATTTCTGAAGCAGCCTTAGCCAAGAAAATCATCACTAGAGATAAATGGTGCAACAAGATATGGAATAAGTCGAAAGAAAGTGGGAACACATTATTGAACGAAGTGATTCGAAAATATCTGTTATTGAAGATAAGGTTGGACTGGGAACAAAAATCTTAACATCTGTGTGCGTGTATGCATGCATGCGTGTATATTTCCCTGTTTGCCAATGGAAAGGAAGTGAATAAATAACGAGGGGTGAGCACAGGGAGAAAAGAGGCATGGCCTGGTCTAGAGCGGTTGTGCATGCAAATTAAAGAAGAAACGGGAGCTTCGGAGCGGTACAAGGAGGCTCTGGAGCAAGGAAGGGAGTGGGAAGAAGAGGGCTGAGCCTTCAGGATTTGCTCGCCAAGGTTTGCCTCGGCTCTAAATCCGCAGAGGAGCAGCTGGTGGAACTGCAGCTACTGCGCACAAGACTTTGTGGGCTCTCTGATTCAGAGAAAGGTTGAGGGGAAAGTATGGAGGATGCGAAAGGGGAAAAGAATTTAAAAAAAAGCCGCCCCATACATCAGGGAGCCCAAACTTTGCTCGCTCTGTTTTCCTAATTCGCTTCCAAACTTTATTTATTTAGCCCCCGTGGCGGGGGAGGGGGGAGGAAAAGCCAGAGGGTGGAAAAAACTGACCGGTTCCACCGGAAATAATCCTGAGAGATCCGAAGTAACCCCTTCCCCGTTCTTCCTCCAGCGCCTGTGCCCCATCCGTCCGTTTGAGTCTCTCCCTGATCCCGGTTCTTGTCAGGGTGCCAAAGCGGCGCCTCTCCAGCTCGCTCTGCCCCCGGAGTCCCTAATCTCAGCCGCGGCCATTTCCATTTTCTTCCTCGTCGTCCTCGCCCTCTTCTCCCCGCCCTCCCGTACCCCTCCTCCGGCGAAAAGCCAACCGGGGCCCTCGCGCTTACCTCCCAAAATGAGGTTCGTGGCGTTCCCGCCGGCCGTTTCCGCGACTACCATTGCCGTCCTCGGGAAGCAGCGGCAGCAGCCCTGTCTGGAGCAAGCGTCGGCCCGCCTGTCCGCAGCCCGTCAGAGGGCTCTGAGCGCGCGCACCCGCGCGCACCTTCCCTTGCTCCAAAGGCCACCCGTGACAAGCGGACGCGAACTCAAGGCAGTTAATTCTAGCGTGGGGAGCTCCGACGAGTGGCGGCTTAATGGAAGGGAAGAGGAGGAGAAAGGGGCCGCCGCTCCACGAAGCAACTCATGAAGCCACCGCCTCCGACGCCGAGACGAAAGCGCACAGAAGCATATCTGCACTCGCGCAACTACACAATGCCCTTTCAGGAAGCTGCCCTCACCCTCTCCACAGGGTATCTGCGTCTCTGTGTGTAAATGTCCTCCCTCCTTTCTCCCTGATTCGGGGCTCTGCTGCAATGCCTGCGAGGCTGACTTTCAAAGCCTCACCCGCAGCCTACGATCTTCCCTCCCTCCCCTCCCTTCTTTCCAGCCTGTCAGTCCCTCCCTTCATTTCGCTCTCTCTCTCGCTCTCTCTCTCGCTCTTGCCATTCATTCGTTTGGCCAAGTTTCGCGGGTTTAACCTTTTTCTTTCCCACCACCAGCTAGGAAAATCTGATGGAGAAAGGGAGAGGGCGGCTGTATTTTGACACAGACCACAGCTGATTATTTGGCACCGTCTCATGGAAGGCTACAAGGCTTGCAAATAAAGTTGATTTCAAAGTTGATTTGAATATACAGTCAACAAACAGGCATGGCAAACCAAGGCTGGTGTGTGGTTGTGTGTGTGTTAGCAGAAGTGCAATTTAACATGAATTGCTTTAGACTTTTCAGGTGAAAGTAATTAGGGAAGTTCAAATAATTTCCTTAGATGGATGATTTCATGTTGGGTCACAGTGAATTGATACAGAGTAAATATTCAAATTTAGTCATAGTTTATGAATGAGATAGAAGAATGATCAATAAATTGAAATCTTTTTAATGTATATGAAACAACTATGACTATATGTTATTTAAAAGATTAAAGGTAAAAGGAAATACAATAGCCAGATGCCCCAAAAATTAAAAAATATTTTAAGTGTTGTAAAAATTCCAGTACTTAGGAGCAAGTGACCTAAATAACATTGTCTTTCGATAATAGAAACAATAATTAATTATATTTTCCTTTAAAACTTTCTAAAGAGGAAATAAATACCTTTATGATGCACTTGCATTTCATCATACTGCATTATGTTTCAGTTGTTGTTTTAATTCTTCTACCAGATTTTATTTCATGTCTATCAAAGTTCTTCAAAAAATTATATTTGACATTAAGGCAAAGTGTGGTTAGATGAGGAATAGGCAATTAATTTTCCCAAGGGGCCACATGAGAAACTGGGACTGTTGTGGAGGGCTGCTGCCTCCTGCTGCCCCTCAACCATGCCCAGCCACCACTGCTCTCTCATTGCCACTACTGTTCCCCTACCACCACCACCATAAGTGAGACAGAGACAGCCAATGGATGTTGCCTGCATGCCTGGGTTAGAAGAACCAAGAATTTAAACTACTGTAATAATTGTATTGAACAATTAGATAGTAGGTAAAGAATTTTGCCTTGGAACAAAAGACAAGTGGTCAAACAGACCTGTTCTCTTCCAGTGTAACGGTTTTATAGACAACAGGACAAAAACTTCATTAATTTGTCAAATTCCAGGTCAGTTGTCAAGTGTTATAGCAAAATGTAATAAGAGTGGCGCCATATTAATATTCTTGCAGTTGAATATTTAGATGATGCCATGTTGTTGATTCAGAACCCAACTGATTTGCAATAAATGCTGGTTTCTGTTTGGTACAACAAAGTACTTAAAAAGTTTAATACAGATAGTCCTGGGCTTATGATCACAATTGAGCTCAAAATTTATGTTGCTAAATGAGATAGTTGTTAAGTGAGTTTTGCCCCATTTGATGACCTTTCTTACAGCAGTTGTTAAATGAATCACAGCAATTGTTAAGTGCATCTGGCTTTCCGATTGACTTGGCTTGTCAGAAGGTTACAAAAAGTGAACACGTCCCTGGGACTCTGCAGCCATCATAAATATGTTGTTTATGTCAGATGCCAAGTATCTGAATTTTGATCACATGATCATGGGATGCTGCAAAGGTTGTAAGTATGAAAAATAGTCATAAGTCATTTTTCAGTGCCATTATAACTTTGAATGGTCACAAAATGAACTGTTGTAAGCCACGGACTACCTGTATATTATTAATTGAAACAATGATTAATGGGCGGGTCACTAATGTTTACATAGTCTTACATATCATTTTATATAACTTGGCATAAAATGTTGGTCCTACAACTTTCAAGATGCATTCTTTTACAGAGAATCTATCATGACACATCTTGAAACTGAAAGTCACTTTAGGAAAAAAAGTGTGAGTGAAGTCTGTTTTGTAGGAAATATCTCTAATAAAAAGAAAATATGACTCTAACTTAATGTAAGTTCAGCATTTGATTCAACATTAATAATTTAAGAATGGGAAAATAATTGTATTTCATGTGGGGCAAATTATTTTCAGTTTAAGTAATTAATTTAAATCATTGGTTAGACTAAGCTATATAAATTCAAACAAGCTCTGCAAAATAGTAGGAAAAAATTAACAGAAGAAGAAAGATAAAAAATAATTAATTCATAATTGAATTTTAGTGTTATTGCTATATGTAAAAAGTTGTGAAGACCAGGCACTGATTAGTTGAAAGAAATCCGTTATTTAAAGTAAGGCTTTGTATAAAATATTCTAACACTGAATATACTCAGTGTCACTAATCATATATATTTCATGAAATTAAATAATGACAACAGTAAAAACAAATAGAAATGATATGTACCTACTTCTCGCACCATTCATTTCCAAACTTATGCAAAGTGATAAAAGGGAAAAATAAAAACCCATGTAAAATATATACAATCAGAGAAAAATAAAGAGTAAATAAGCAAATAAAAAATTTGCTTAAGCAAATTAATACAAATCATATCTCAATTCCATATATGGGAAGAACGGGTCTCATACATAGTGATTTTTTTCTTCTTTTGACAAATACTCTTTCCTTACAGCAGATTATGTATTACCTACAATCTTCCTTCCAGTACTTGAATTTCTTGAAATTTCTCTATCCAAGTTATACAAATTCTCCAGCTTTTTTGTTATTTCTTTGTTTTGTTTTGTTTTGTTTTATCTATCATTCATATAGAACTTGCACTGATAATAACCATTTTACTCTATTAAGCTCAGATACTCTGACCTTTAACACATTACTTTTCAGATCCATACATTCAGCCTACATAAACCAACTTTCATTGCAAATCATTTGGGTTCTGAATAAAAAACCTGGCATTATTTAAATTCAAAACTATACTCACATTTATACTAAATTAACCTACCTTTAGCATTTACCACAAACATTCTGTCTGCTTTTATACATAAATACATTTTATGGAACATTCTTCCTCTAGAGATCAGAATGGCCTTAACTCTACTAGTCTTTTGTAAGGTCTGTTTCTGTTCCTGGGTCAGAGGCCCCAAATGTGTGAAGCTGTTTCCTGGCTGTGTTAATGTTTGTGGATTATTATATTCCTCGGTTACTGTGTATTTTAATTTTTGAAATCTCTTGTAATTATTTTTATTTTGTTTTAATATTGTTTTCTGTCCAGAGTCATTTGGTAATATGGGCAAACATACAAATTGATTCAATAAATAAACAAAGGGCATCAAACATCATTGTTCTATTTCCTCCTCAGTGTAGAATATATACTTAGTATTTGATTTATTTTCAATCATGTCTTATTCCCATATATTTTTATAATACCATTAAACAACTAGTCTTAAGTTTTATATTCATACAAACTTTTCAATAAACCAATTTATCAGCCCCTTTCAATCATAATTCTGCCACATAAATTTACAAATACACTTAACAGCTTAATTTCACTGTAGCATTGTGTCAACTTGCAAAGCATCCCTGGCGTGCTCTCGAGTTGCCATAGGAAAGGGGAGATGGGAAACCAATGAAACAACATAGCAGCAAAAGACAGATGCACATTCCAGACTTGTCTTTCTCAAGGTTGTATCCCAGGGTTACTTATAGAGACCAAAGTGGAGTGATCTTTACAACCCACAAAATTGCCCCATGGGTGATTGTGATTGATGACACACCCGGGGGGGAGGGGGCAAACAGGGTCATGATTCGGACCATAAATGACCTGGGGTCAGAGCTGGCTCACATGGGAACGTGCCAACATGAAGCTCCTAATAAATGCCTGGATTTCTTTTGAAGCTTGGCTCGAGGCTCATGATTTAATTAGGGCATCCGTTGGAGCCTGGACACATTGTTCATATCAATATTATTAATATTATTATTAAACACCCAGTAATAGTAATTGCCCAGAAACCCTGGACAATTCACAGATAAAGCCCCATGGAACCATAAAATAATAACTATGTTTTCCCGAAAATAAGATTGGGTCTTATTTATATATATATATTTGGACCAAAAGACCAATTAGGTCTTATTTTCAGGAAATGTCTTGTTTTGCAGCCGGCTACCCACTCCCTCCCACCATCTGCTTGCCCGCGGCTGCAATGGTATACAGGGCAGACACACTTTTCACTGGACAAAGAAATGATGGAGACTGGAAGCTTCGTCTGCTTGCAAATGGGGTGCTTTGAAACGGAGTGATTAGTGAATGGGGCGCTTTGAAACGGAGTGATTAGTGAATGGGGCGCTTTGAAATGGAGTAATTAGCTCTGTTTCAAAGTGCTCAATTTGCAAGCAGATGAAGCTTCCAGTCTATCTCTGGGTGAAAAAGTGCACAGCAGAGGCAGGCAGGCAGAGGCACAGGGGGGAGGCAAGCAATCCCAATGCACTGCCTGGTCTATCCCACCATCTCTTGGCTTGCCTACAGCTGTGCCAGGGTAGGCGCCTGCACCAGGCATTAGAATTGCCTACCTCCCCTTGTGCCTCTGCCTTTGCCTGCTGCTGGTGCCACCACGCAAGCCTCCTGTGAGCCTCCTGTGAGTCAAGCAACCATGCAGCATGTCTAGATGACTTGTCTCCCCTTGCCTTTGCCTCCGGGCTCAGATTTATCTGTGTTGTGCCAAGGGGCCGGCAGGCTGTGGCTGTTGCTGGATACCATCAGCCCCTGCACACTCACCACCTCTTATGCTGGCCACGCTCATCCCCCAAGCTTGATTTTGGGATAGGGCTTATATTAGACCCACTCCCAAAAATCAAGCTAGGACTTATTTTCAGGGTGGGTCTTATTTTCAGGGAATCACAGTGTAATGATAAGAACAAACAACAAAAATGCCACAAACCAGAGAGCAATCACAGCAAGTCCTATTATTAGAGGGGAGTTTAATCAACCTGACCAAGGAGCCAAGCTTCAAGATTCTCCAAAATACCTGCAAGTTGTAGTCCATCCCTCAAGTTATTAGACCCTATGCCATGTAGGACTACATAG